TAATCAGCAAGAGACTCTTCCTTCTTCTAGTGGCTTGGATAATGGAGGTAAACATAGAAGACCTCCAGATGCTCTTACGTTAATGAGGAATTTTTATCAAACTCACAAGGATTCTATCCCTTTGGATAATTTGGATGTTTTGGGTGCGACCTCGGTCTATACCAATGCTCTTTCTAAGGGCCAGTTTCTGTTCTGATAAATTTAAGATTGTTTTTATGAATATTTTGACCTGGAATTGTAGAGGGGCTGGGAAAAGGAGTTTTCCACCTCTAATTCGAGATCTTTCTCATAGATACAATATTAAAGTTATGGCTTTGTTAGAAACCAGATTGAGTGGTGTTATGGAGGATAGAGCTATTCAGCGTCTTGGTTTTTCTGGTTACTTTCATCGTGATGCTGTTGGTTTTTCTGGCGGTATTTGGGTGCTTTGGAACACTGATGAAGTTTCAATGGATGTTCTTTTTTCTCATCGCCAACTTGTTCATACTAATATTTGTTGGGTAAAAGAAAATAGAGAGGAGTTCATGACTTTTATTTATGCAAGTCTGCGAAGATAGGAACATATTCAGCTGTGGGAAATTCTGTCTTCACTGTTTGATCAGTCCACGAGGAATGCGGCTTGGGGGATAGCAGGTGATTTTAATACTTATTTGTATGAGTATGAGAAGCTAGGTGGTAATGGGCATAACTGGAATAGCATGAGGGAATTTTGTGATTGTTTAGATGAATGTAGCTTGTCTGACATTGGCAATCAAGGTCCTATTTTCACTTGGCAAAGAAGAAATCTTCAGGAACGTCTTGATAGGGTTTGCGCTAATGAAAATTGGAACTTGGTTTTCCCTAACCGTGTGGCTTTCAACTTGCCTTTCTTTGGCTCAGATCATCGACCAGTGTTATTATGGGAAGGTCAACCTGCTATTTATCCGAGAAGGGAGCGTCCTTTCCGTTTTCTAGTATCCTGGTTAACAGAGAGCACTTTTCATGAGGTGGTTAATGGATGTTTGTCAAACAATGTAAACTGGATGCATGCTATGGAGACATTTCGGATTAATGCTTCGGAATGGCATAGAAATGTTTATAGGATTGCTCTGAAAAGAAAGAATGATTTGCATACAAGGATTAGAGGTATTGATAGATGTCTTAGTTATCAGTACAGTCATAGCCTTGAGATGTTGCAAAAGGATCTATGGAGGGAACTAGACAAGATTTATCTTCAAGAGGAAATCACTTGGTTTCAAAGATCGAAATTGAATTGGTTTGCTCTTGGAGATAGGAACTCGTGTTTCTTTCATTCTGTGACGGTTGCCAGACGTAGGAGGAATCGCATAGATACGTTGAAAAACTCGGAGGGAGTTTGGATTGGTGATCAGCAGGTTTTAATGAAAATGGTTGTTTCCTTCTTTGAAAATCTGTACACAAAAGATCCATGACCTAAACCGGCTTTTCCAGTTCGTGGCTTTTTTCCAGTTATTGAAGCACATGCTTTAGACACGATGAGTATTATGCCCAACAGTAAGGAGATCAAAGATATAGTCTTCTCTTTTGGTCCATACAAGTCGCCTGGGAAGGATGGGCTTAATGCTCTTTTCTTTCAATCTCAGTGGGATAAGGTGGGCGAGTCAGTTATCTCTTTTGTGAAAAGTGTGTTCCTTCATCCGGATAATATCAAAGAGATTAACCAAACTTTGATTTGTCTGATTCCTAAGATTGATGTGCCTGAATTATTTAAAGATTTCAGACCTATTAGCCTTTGTAATGTTACTTACAAGACTGTAACTAAGATTGTGGCTAATATGCTGAAATCTCATATGGCTCACATGGTTATGCCTAATCAATGTGGTTTTATTAAGGGTAGACAAGGAGCGGATAATATCATTGTGGCTCAAGAAACCATCCATTCCATGAATAAAAAGAGAGGAGGTAAGGTTTGGATGACTGTCAAAGTTGATTTAGAAAAGGCTTACGACAAGATTTCTTGGGAGTTTCTGAAAGACACGCTTGTGGATGTTGGTTTGCCTGAGAATATTATTTCTCTGATCATGTGTTGTGTCTCGTCATGTACAATGAATTTGTTATGGAATGGATCAACTACGACAGAATTTTCTCCTAATCAAGGTCTTCGTCAAGGAGATCCTTTGTCTCCTTATCTTTTCATCCTTTGCATGGAAATACTTGCTCATTTGATTAATGTAGCAGTTCAGGAGGACGTTTGGAAGCCTATCAGATTGAATAGAAGGGGACCACTGCTTTCCCATATATTTTTTGCAGATGATCTTCTGCTCTTTACAGAAGCCATAGAAGGGCAAACTGTTATTATTAATAAGATTCTTGATTGTTTTTGCAGGTGCTCTGGTGAGAAGGTTAGCAAGGAAAAAACAAAAGTCTTCTTCTCCAGAAACGTTAATCATACCCGAGTGCAGAATCTAAGCCAGTTGATGGGCTACTCTCCTACAAATGACTTGGGTAAATACTTGGGTATTCCTCTTCGTCATAGCCATGTTACAAAGAGTACGTTTGGCTATATCTTAAATCGGATGCAAGCTCGTTTAAATGCCTGGAATCAACGTACTCTTTCATTGGCAGGAAGATCAACTTTGGCTAGGTCAGTTCTTACTGCAATTCCTCAATATCCTATGCAAACTTGTATTATTCCTAGTGGTACGTGTGATCGTATTGAGAGTGTAACTAGGAATTTCATTTGGGGATCAACTTCTGAACGAAGGAAAGTTCACTTGGTTTCTTGGGAGACGGTCTGTTTGCCGAAGAATGTAGGGGGCTTGATTTTCGTAAAATTAAAGAGAATAATATGGCTTTTATCATGAAGCTAGGTCACCGTATCATGACTGATCGTAATTCATTATGGGTTTGGGTCCTTCGTAGCAAGTATAAGGTGGAGGAGAGGCTCATTCCAAGTATCTCGGCTTCAGTAAATGATTCTGGTTTATGGAAGGCTATTGTTAAGTATTGGCCTCAAACTCTAGAGAATTCTCGTATCATTTTAGGGGATAGGGTTCATACGTCTTTTTGGATGGATTCGTGGGTGCCAGGATGTCCTCAACTTGTTTCTCTGGCCGTTCAACCTATTCCTCCTATTATGACCCATTGGTCTACGTCTCAATTTGTAACTTGTTATGGTAATTGGGACTGGCCTTTATTCCAGCACCTTCTTCCTACTTCAGTATTAGACAAGATTCGTAGTGTGCTCCCTCCTACAATGGATTCTTCTCCGGACCGTGTTATTTGGGCAGGTAGCCAAGATGGGGTTTTTTCAGTGAAATCAACTTATAACTATCTCATGGGTACCTATCATTATCATCAGGATAGGATTTGGAAGGTAATTTGGGCTTGGCCTGGTCCTGAACGTATTAGACAATTCTTATGGCTTCTCTACATAGGTTTTCTTTTAACTAATGTTCGTAGAGTGCATCGTCACATGGCTACAGATGCAGCGTGTCTGAGATGTCATTATAATCTTGAGGATAGTTTACATGCCATTAGAGATTGTCCTGGTGCCAGGGAATTATGGGAGCATTGGGTTCCTTTTGATAACCGTAGTGACTTTTTCTCCATGGATCTTCACCTATGGATTCAGACAAATCTAGGATTAAAAGGTCCGTTTCAAACTGATCGAACTTGGCCTTTGTATTTTGGGGTGATAGCTTGGTGTTTGTGGGGGGAAAGAAATAAGGTGATCTTTTATCAAACTAGCACCTCAAAGTATGGTCTCATTAGACGCATTACCTACACTTGTGGTAATATTCAATTGGCTAATGAAACTCTTATTAAGATTGGTCATCAGGAGCTTAGAAGAGAGGAACGTCTTATTCACTGGAATTTTCCCTCTGAGGGTTATGTTAAACTTAATGTGGATGGTTACAACATAGATAGTGGGCAAAGGACTGCATGTGGTGGAGTCATAAGGGATGCTGCTGGGAACTGGTTAACTGGTTTTACAAAATTCCTTGGGAGTGGTATTTCTACTTCAGCGGAAATTTGGGGGTTCTTGACAGGTATGGATCTGGCTTGGCATAAGAGATTTAGGAGAGTCTTTGTGGAGGGTGACTCCAAAGTGGCTTTGGAATTTATAAGAAAAGAGTGTGACGTAAGTCATCCTCTTTCTGCTTTAATCATCCGAGCTCGTAGAATGCTTCAAAGAGACTGGATTATTCAGCTTAGTCATACTTATAGAGAAGGCAATTTTGTTGCTGATTGGCTTGCTACTCATGCACCTCATCAGGATGGACAACTGATTGTGCTGGATGTCCCTCCAACGACTTGTTTGGAATTGCTTCGTAATAACTTGAGGGGAGTTAGTCTCCCAAGATTGTGCCCAATATAGGGCTTTTTTTGACGTTGCTTTAGTTTTCATTGTATTTCAAAAAAAAAAATTTAATAAAATAATTTTGGCGCTTATGTAATTCTATTCGACTTGAATTGAATTAATTGAATAATTGATAAATTAATAAATAATATCAAACAAAAAATTAAAAATGATGCTAATTTTTTTCTTTTATTTTCTTTTTCCTTCTTATCCAAAAAGGATTATTGGTTACATTTTGCCTTATATTAATCACTTTATTGTCACTGTGGGCCACCACATTCATCACACTTCAGTGGCACCAGAAAAAAAAAAAAAAAGAGGCAGTCGTTGTGTCAGTGTGCATGTTCACAGCTACTACTACCAATGTGTGTTCAAATCAATATATGCCACGTTCGACCCCTAAGGGCTACAAGTCAACGTGACCCACTTGATTTGTCACGTGTCAAATTCTTACTGCACCGTTATAAGCCATTCTATAACAGCCTGATAGAATAGCACCCAGAGAGTGTGTAAGCGTGTGTGACTGTGCACACTATCTTACACTGCACCGCCTCGTTCTCTCCGTCTAAATAGCTTCCACTTCCTCGTTCTTCTTCGTGCATGTCTGCAAAATCGAATCTCAAGTCTCTGAATCTCTCAAATTCTCAATCTCAACACAAACACCTTTTGGTCTCTCCCTTTGCAGTTCCTAACTCTGTAATCTCTCTCTAGCTCTTGCATGTTGGTTTTTCTTGTGTTTTTCGAACAAACCCATATCAGGGATTTTTCTGGGGGCGAACATTTTTTTATTTTTGATTGATTGGTTTTACAGAATAAAGAAAAAATGATATGGGAAAGGGAAAAATTGGATTTTTTTTTCTTCCAACGAAGTTAAACCCTTATTGTGGTGTACGGATTATTGATGGTAGGATTTTTTTCATTTTCATTTTTAGTTTTTGGGTTTTTCGATCAAACTGACATAAGGGTTTTTTCTTAGATTAAGTTTGGATTGTTTTCAGAAAGGAAAAAAATGAAATGGAAAAGGAAAAGTTTGATTTTTTTTTTTTTTAAGTTAAACCCTTGGATTTTGGTTTACGGATTAGTAATGGGAATATTTAATTCTTCGGTGTTGTTGTAAATTTTTTTTATTAGTTTGTATTATTGTTAATTGGCTTTTGCTTCATGGTTTTCTGAAATTTCGAATTTTTTTTCCCAATTGTTGCAGGTGTTCGTTTTGCTGCCAAGGTTACATCACTGAAAGAGGGGTAATGTCTAGAAACTCTTTTCCTTTATAATTTTATGTATTCTACAATGAATAGCCATTTGTGTCTGCGGTGATTCTTTTTATGACCTTATAGTTATAATACTTTGGTGTGCACCTATAAAATTCCTTGATATTTAATGTTTTATTCAAACATATTGGGTTGACTTGCATTTGGGGTATGTGGTTTTGTTCTATTGCTTGAAGCTTGTCTTTTTGTTTCTAGTTTTTAAGTTTTGGGGAGAAATGGGGAGGGGCTGATCTTAATTTACCCAGTGAGAATGACAATTGAATTTAGAGTTTTTACAGCCTAATCCATTCTAAATAATTGGAAAGTTGGTAGGAAAATTTGATATCTAGTTTTTGATAATGATTTTGTCATATTTAATCTGGTTGGATGGAGGTTTTTGAGTAGTTTACTGTCATGTCTTAGAATTCTAGCTTATAAGGAATAATTTTTTAGGTGCATTTTCATTCCAAATTTTTGGTTTTGATATTAAAATCTAATTTGTACTTCATATTTTCTAGAACTGTTTTTCTTGGTTGCTTTAAATCAGACTTCTTACCCTATACAGTTCACATTCAGCAATCTAATTGCCGGAGTTGCTTTTCTTACAAGGAGTCAGATTTCTTTGGGAAATTTTCTGTTCTTTTTAATCTTCTAAAATGGATATAAACAGATTTTTAACATATTCTACTTCCATATGGCCCATCAAGACATGTTCTTTGATTCTTCCCCCTCGAAAATAGTGAGATTTATGACTTCTACATAAGATTCTTTCAGATTTCCATGGCAACCTTGGTATGCAATAAGTAATCCTGTTTTCATATATTTTAAGCAATGCTGTTCTGCAAAAGTCATAAGTTGTTTTATATAATGATTTAATTTCCAGAGTAACGTTTGACTTATAAAGAACGGTTAATGCTGTTGTGTAAAAGTCAAAGTTTCAGTTCATGCATTATTAATAAAAAATTTCAGCTATCATGCTTTAGAAACTGCGGGCACTCTTCCATGAACGTTTTGGGTGGAATTGTTGAAATTATCAAGTCTGCATTTCAGTTTGGGTATGAAGTAATTAAGTGTTTGCTGATGTGTCTTGTAACACCCCGTATATATCCGGTAGTGTTATCATTACATCGTATTAAGCTACGCTTAATTAAAAATGTGGAATATCTTTTTCTTTTCCAATTATGACGTCATTATACTTAGCCAAGTTGATTACTTAATCAATTTCATAAAATATCGCCTGAATGTAAATTGCAATAAGACATATACTGAAATACCTCAATATATAAATAAAGTGAGTATCTAAATCACAGATCTACATCACGTAGTCCGGACAATATCCTGATACATTATTACAACTCCAAATCAACTAAGACATAACTAGTCTATGTGTCATGGACAATCCCCATGCTCACCAAATCAACAGCGTCTCAACAAGATAATCATAAACATAACATGAAGCTCAAAGCATAAAAGCAGCATGCATATCCAGCATCCAACAAGTCGGCATATAATATCATCAATATCTAACTCAGCTCCGGCCTCCTGCCGCCTGAGGTCTCAACATTACCCGAACCTGAAATAAGCATTCCCCAAACGTGGGGTGAGATCTCTAAACTAGAAATCTCAGTAAGACATGGGGTCCTCAAGGATCTTCCACCCCAAGCTCACTTACATGTGCAATATAAGTTCTAAAAGCATTTATATCAATGTCAGTTCCAAAACTATGCAGTGCAACAGATATTCATGCCATGTGTGTCAATACTATTCTACTGGCCAGAGAAATGTAGGAATACGCCTATTACCCACACGTAGTTCAAGGAACACCGCTTGCACCTCACCCACAGCCTCACCGTCTTGTATGTACCACATACTCAGGCTTACCGTATAGGTGGAACACCACATGCATATCATAAAGGCACTAGCATATAACAGCTCAACAGCATTTTCAAAACATCAAAAGCATGTAACACAGCATGCATATAACCATACCCCCATGGGACATGGTGGAACCACAACATGGCTAAACCGAGGACACGAAAGCTTACCTTGCAAGCTCACTATCCAATGCCAAGAGTTCTCACAGCTCAAGTCCAACACACAGCAGATCACAATCTGATTTAGGACCAGCAAGTGTATCAACATACATAGCTCAAAAGCATTAACATAAAGACTACGTTCTCCTTTAACGATTTACGTCTTAAGGCTTCCAACGAAGCCACAAGCCCTTAATCACATGATTCTGACTTAGTTCATTAATTACAGAAGTTCAACTTCATCAATCTAGGGTCCACAAACCCCCAATAGCCTACTGTACACACAGCACAGCTACTGTTCTTCGAAATCCCAGAATATCCGGATATTCCTCGGGGCATATCCGGATATCCAATATCCGGATATCTCTTTGGCAATATCCGGATATCAATATCCGATATCCAGATCCCCATATTCGGATATCAATATCCGGATATTTCACGGGCAAATATCCGGATATTTCGCGACAGAATGCAGTTTCTGCATTTCGCGAAGATATCCTTCAAAGGTACCATTTTTACCGATTACAGAAGCCTAAACATGCATTTCTAGGTGTGTTTGACATTACCTCAAGTTAGGTTATCATCTTTTAACCATTACATGCATCAAGGTTCCATTTTTAAGCATAAAAACTCATGATCAAGTTGAGGTACATACTCAAGGCTTCAAAGCAGAAACAAGGGCTGCTCTTGGAGCTCACAACCAGCTCCAACAAACTGACTACACAAGACCAACGAAAATGCCACAAAGCTTGGCCCTTTCTTCACAAAGGAAGCTCCTTGAAGCTTCACAAACCAAGAAGATGACTCCACAACCCCCAACTCAACAAGACAGCACCTCAAGCTCACTAAGAGAGCAACACAACTCAGAACATAAGCTCCTCTCCCACTCACAAGTGACCATCACACCCAACCATGGTGCTAAGGATGAAGAAAAGAAAAGACTTAAAGCCAAAGGAGCCAACTTGCTCAAGAAATGGAGAAGAAAACCCAAAGGAGCAGCCAAACTGATCAGCCTCTCAACAACTCACGCATAGAAGTCTGTTTTCTAGGGTTGTGTGCCCTTAATAAGAGTATTTATAGGTCACTTAAGCATTAAACACACAGTATTAACTTTAATTGCTACGCTTAGTATTTTAATCCCAAACTTTGGATTCTTAACCTACTCAATTTTACAAGAATTATCATATTTTTATAATATTTTTTGGAGCACCTTTCCGGTACGCGCTTTTCACAGCCAGTATCAGTTTCTGGCACCAGTTCTTATTATTTTGACTTGAAACTCGTTTTACAAGTCTTACATATCATTCTAGTAATTATCATGCACTTATTATAATTTTCCGGGATACTTTTTCGGTACGCATTTATACCGATTAACAGAACCGGTATCTGTACTTTTCTTCCGAAAATCGACTTTCAACATTCTTAATCACTTAACATAATTATTAAAGCCTCTTAATAATTATTAGGGTTAATTATGGAATCATTTCCTAATTTAACATAATTAATTACTTAATTTCCTTAATTAACGGTGCGAGTTCTTACATGTCTGAACTGCGATTTCGGTAGAATATGTTTATTGGATATTGTCAATAATTATTAGCTTACAGCCTCATAATTTTCTTGTAGACTTCTACGATAGATTTTCCTTTTTCCTTTTTTTTTTTTTTTGCGAAAATTACCTTCCTGATATAGAATGATTTTGCTAATAGTAAAGACTGTTTTATATCTCTGAATAACAGGCTGTGTTGTCTGACTTCTATTCTACTAACCATCCTATCTTAAAAGACTTTCTTCTTCCTTTTTTTTTTAATAATTTTGTCAATATAAGTAACCATACTGTAATTTCTAGTAGAAAACATATTTGAAAAAAGGAACCATTTTCAACACACTATCATTCATTTGTTCAAGGCTTTCATTTTGTTTGCCCCTCATGGATGCATTTTTTTTTTATTTTTTTTTGTTAAACTTTATATGAAGGGTGAATTTTTTGAAATTTAGGTATAGCTTGCTGCCAATCGAATCCACTGCCTAGTTTTTTCCTTATTTTTTCTAGTGTTTACCCAAGTCTAGTTTAGTTACAACCTAAGTCTATGTGTATTTCACTGTATTGATAATTTAATATTGTTTTAAAAGTTAGGGGTATTAACTATTAAGGAAAGTTTGTGAATTAGAAAACGTTTACCCTGAAAACAACGATGATTATTGATGATTTTGACAAAACGACAACTATACAATTTATTCCATTACTTTTAGTATGAATGCAGGTATTGACTATGCTTCGTCCTACATCCGTTTTACGTTGTCTTTCTTTCTTTGTCTATATCTCCTTTTGTCACTTTTCGAAAACCTTATTTCTCTCTAATTTTTCGACATAAAGATAATTAGCCTTCGGTTCTTAATAGCAGCATTAACTTTGGTTTTGAAAAGAAAAGAAAAGAAAAGAATAGTCATAATTTCTGTTATATTTTATTTCTATTTAAATTATTTCTTGTCATTTTGATAAGTGTGTACATCAAGACCTGCCATTTATGCTGGGCTCATATTATATCTGTTTATTTTCCCTACAACCTATTAAGGTATTGTTTTTAATTTAATTCTTGCAATCACTTTTTGTTTTGAACTTTTAATTCTTTCAATTCCTGCCAGTAAGAGGTTGAAACCAACACAAGTTTTGCCTACTGTCCAAGTTCCCTACCAAGAACTCTAGATGAAAAATATAGAACCTCTACACTCTTTTATTTTCAATGCTCTTTTTCTTTCTGGTGTGGCACCAGGTTTAGATAATTCTCTCATAATACTGGTAATTTGTTTGTGTCAAGGTAGTTAATATTGTGCATATGCTCGTAAGATTGGACAATTTTACGAGTTTTGTCTGCCCCCCATGATCCCATTCATACCCTGGATTGAGTTCTGGTAGGATTGCATTGCATAACCGTGAGATTGTAGGATTGGGACGATTTC